GGGAGGAGGTGACACGGGCCCGACGCACATGTTCCTTGGGAAGTGGGGACTGACAAGGGCGGGTCACCTGGGTGCCTTTTGGAGAGGGAATATGATGGCAGCAGGTCGCCTGGGTCCCTTTGAGGAGGGGGAGGTGATGCGGGCCGGGTGCCTGGGTCCCCCTGGGGAGGGACAGGGCTGGGGGCTTCGCTCTCCCTAGGAGCTAGGACTGAGAACGGGGAGGCGGGGGTTCATCCCTCCCCCTGTGCCATGAGGCGATGCTAAAGACCTGGTGCCCACCCTCAGCAGGCTGCTCTGAAGGCCGGTGTTGGCCAGCAACCGTAGCGTGAGCAGGGAGTCCCCAGCACGCACCCAGAAGCTCTTGCACTGGCCCATCTCAGTGGCCTTGGGTTGCTATGTGTCCTGTCCTGTGTAGTCAGTAACTGCTCATAGCCACAGGCCAAGGGTTTGGCCAGGACACAGACCAGCACTGGCTGGAATCCCTGGCCTGGCACAGGGGATCACTATCCAACACCTGGGCTGTGAGCTCTCTGGGACACACTGGACTGGGGTGACATCTTCATCTTACATGGCTTCATTTTCTTTTGTCTTTATAATAGTGATAGATGCTTCAGGAGGAAAGATAGTAGTTTCGAGCCTCTTCTCTGAGTAGGTGGAGAAAGTTCCTAGAGAATTTGAGTTATTAGGGAAAAGAAGTAGTAGTAACTTTTCAAGAACATGATTTTGAAATTCCTGTGTCTAAAAATTAAAGGTTCTCCTATGATCTGAGAAGTGTGTGGTAATTTAACAATTAAATTTATATTAATGCCAAGTCACGTGTTATTCCTTAGTACTTAGTCCAAAAAGAAGAAGTAACCACTAACAGCAGCAATATAGCACATTGCCTCTCCTCCAGTTTGGTTATGCAGTAATGATGGAGACTTCTGATGAAGAAAACTTTGGTGTAGCTATGTGAGTATGCTACATTCTGTGTCAGATTTTCAATAAGCTAATTACTAGTTAAAATATCTTAATGGGAATATAATTACACAAATGAATTTACACTACACTGATTAGCAGATTCTGCCTCTTAGGATAATAAGGCTGCAGAAAAATGCAAAGCTCTGGGAGGGAATAACATCAGTTCAGAGTTCAGATGAAGTCAAACTAAATATGACTGCAATGAGCATAGCACTAGATAGCCCTGGCTGAATGATCAAAATAAACACTGTAAGGCTGAAAACTGGGGGTTTTGTGTTCATTTTAAATTCAAAATTTCTCTCTCCTTTTCAAGAGCATATGTTGTCTTATATCACGGGTTCGAAGAAGAGACTTCCTCTGTGTTTGAATGTGCTCTTTCTAGACATGTGAGGCCTTTTAAACATAGTCTCAACCAAATTTTACACTGGTAGATGCTAAGACCCTGCTTCGCCCCACATTTGTCTGGCATACTCTTCTTGTAAAGCTTGTGGCAGAATGGGATGTGTGCCTGTGCCTCTGTTACTCTAGTACATCGATTTAGTTCTTTCAGTCTACAGACTATCACAAATGGCCATGTGCCCGGGTTTCTTCAGCAGCACAGGTTGTGCTGGCCTAGACTAGACGTGAGGAGGTGACAAAGGCTTAAACCACAAGATTTGTGAGCGCATGTTTCTTCAGGTGTGCGGATGCAGGTGTGTTATATAGACAGATGGAATCACTGCTATTTTGGAACAGTTAAAATTCCATGATTTGTCTCGTAAGCCTAGACTGGTGTTTAAATTAATACTTTTAAATTTTCTGTTGCTGTTAGAATAAGCTATAAAACTAGTAGTAGCACTGTTTTGGAGGGGAAAAAGAGTAGAAATTATCCATAGCAAAGTCTCCTGTCCTTGCATGTAAATGAAAAGCGATGACCCCTATTGCCTGAAGTCCTAAGTGTGATGCTCAGGGTATGTAATGCTTTGACTGTTCTGTGCCAGCTCCTCTCCTGGTGCTGTCCTGCCCTCTGGTGGAAGAGCATGCTTTTCAGTCCCTTGGCTTGGCTTTGCTCATCTCCCAAGGCTTAACAGATTAGAAATGTTGCTAGAACATCGCTTGTGATCAGACGCCTTTTTAAATCAAATATCTTTTCATTTTTCCTGGTCAGAATGAGCCCTATGGCTCATGATAGTTAAACTGTCAGTTAAACTGTTGTTGGATTAATTTCACTGGACTATTATTCAGCAGCAAAAGAATTTAATGAGTTTTTTTTTTTAAATTAGTCTGAAAGAGTATTCTGCTCTGTTTACTAAATAGAAATTTGAAAGACAAATAGGACATCTGTCTTTAAAAAAAAAGTTAGCTTTGATCAGCAAAAGCACCATTTATATTAAAATTTAATGTCTATGAGACTGTTTCCCTCGTGTGAGAAAAACCTGTCTTTCATCTCCTGGAGAATATAGGAAGAGTTCATCCCCCGCTAAAGATAAGCTCTGAATGCCAAGACCAAGGAGATCCTGTGGATTATCTAATGTGTCTGAACAAGCTGCACAATAATAGATTTAGCAGAGGGATCCAGAGTCCTGAAATGCTGGTACCAAAGTCTTCTTCCCTGGATGACTTCAGATCCATAATGGTGTTTAATATTTGCTCATGATCAAATGACCTCAGGAGGTTATGCCATTTATTTGTAGTGTGCAGGGATGTTTCTTGCATAAGAAAAATATTTAGTTTTTTTCACTTATATAATATTGTGTATACATTGAGTTTAAGTGATTCCACAAGATCAAGTATTTCAAAATATTCTCTAGAGTGTCTACAGTTCTGTGATCACACAGGGACAAGAGCAGAAGGAAAGCTTGTGGTAGCAGCTGGGATTTGTGGGTTGGAAAATGCTTAATTTTCTAATTACGCTCTTTACTTCCTTCTGCACCAGGACTGGAATTACCTTGACAGTAATAACAATAAAACAACCCTTTTTTTTTTTTTTTTTTTTTTTTTTTTTTTTTTTCTCCAGTTAGGCACCTTACTGGGGGGGAAATACAGTAGAGGCCTGTTGAGAATCCCCATGAAGCAGTCTTATCAGTGTTGTGGATTATTTTGTAGGTTGAAACTAGGAAATTATTTGCTTATCTTTTAATTAGTGGGCTTATTTGTGCTTGGGCTTTTGTTAACACTTTTTAATTTTAACTTTTATTTCTGCTGTGGTTGAAATATGTATTTATGCAGTACCATCTTTCTTTGCTTTCAGCTCCTCCCCTTCTGATGCAGAGTTCGATGCAGTTGTTGGCTATCTGGAGGATATTATAATGGGTAAGCTCTGCAAGTAGTTATAGACAACAAGACGAGTGCTAAACATATTGTAAGCTGCTCTTCTGTTAGCAGATATACAGAGCCAAAGTAGCCCCTGCATGCTTCATGGAAGCTTTCCTTCCTTTGTTCCTGTGCCCCCCTAACCTGGTAGTGCAGTGTATATACAAAAGTCTTTTGTGTGCTATTTGCACAACAGTGTGCTTACAAGTCTTGAAAATGATTCTCTGCACCACTGCGGTACACTCCTTCATAAACAAACAGTAAAGACACTTGTAAATCTCACGTAGAAATCAAAGCTTTCTGGAATGTTCGTACCCTTTTATAAAGGGGATGGAAGAGACTGTGAGAGGTAGCCTTCCCTTCCCCAGCTCTGTGTAACTTAGAATCATGTAATTGTTTAGGTTGGAAAACACCTTTAAGATCATTGAGTGCAACCGTTAATCTAACACTACTAAGTCCACCACTAAACCATATCCCTAAGTGCCACATCTACACGTTTTTCAAATACTACCAGGGATGATGACTCAACCACTTTCCTGGTCAGCTTGTTCCAGGGCTTGACTACCCTTTCTGTGAAGAAATTTTTCCTAATATCCAATCTAAACCTCCCCTGTCCCAACTTGAGGCCATGTCCTCTCATCCTATCACTTGTTACTTGGGAGAAGAGACCAACGCCTACCTCGCTGCAACCTCCTTTCAGGCAGTTGTAGAGAACTTTTGCTCAAGTGTTTGTCAGGATATTCTTAGAAGCTACCATAGTTTGTCCAGGCAATTTGCTGTAGTGCCTAGCTGTTGCTACTGCAGGCAGCCTATCATAATCTGTAATATAAAGTATGTAATATAAGTATGTTGTTCCTTGTCCTGTCTCTGCTGAACACAGAACAGTTTATTTCCTCTGTCTGCAGCAGCATTGCATAGCTGGAGATGGGTGTCATCATGTCTTGCCACTTTTTACTTTTTGAGGCTACCTTCTGAGTTGATTTTGTTGCATGTGACTTGCATATGTACATACAGTTGCAATGTGGCAGGGCCCGTTTATAGCAGGGAAGTT